TCAATTTGCTGAGAATGATAGTTTCCAGATTCATCCATGTCCCTACAAAAGAAACAAACTCATCCAGTTTTCAGAGGGAATGTTTCCAGCTTTTGCCCATTCAGTATGATATTTGCTGTGAGTTTTTCATAAATAGCTATCATTATTTTGAGATATGTTCCATCAGTTCCTAGTTGATTGAGTACCATCAATACCTAGTTTTTAGCATGAAAGGCTGTTGAATTTTGTCAAAGGCCTTCTCTGAGTCTAATGAAATAATCATATGGTTTTTGTCCTTGGTTCTGTTTATGTGATGGATTACATTTATTGATTTGTGTATGTTGAACCTGCTTTGTATCCCTGTGATGAAGCCAACATGATTGTAATGGATAAGCTTTTAGATGTGCTGTTGAATTTGGTTTGACAGAATTTTATTGAGGATTTTTGCATCAGTTTTCATCGGGGATATTGTCCTGAAATTTTCTTTTTTGTGTGTGTCTCTGACAGGTTTTGGTATCAGGATGATGCCAAATTCCTCATAAAATGAATTAGGGAGGATTCCCTGTTTTTCTATTGTTTGGAATAGTTTCAGAAGTAATGGTACCAGCTCCTTTGTACGTCTGGTAGAATTTGGCTGTGAAACCATCTGGTCCTGGATTTATTTTAGCTGGTAAGCTATTAACTGCTGCCTCAATTTCAGAACTTGTTATTGGTCTATTGAGGGATTCAACGTCTTCCTCTATTGGGAGGGTGTAAGTGTCTAGTAATTTATTCATTTCTTCTAGATTTTCTGGTTTACTTACACAGAGGCCTTTATAGTATACTGTGATGGTAGTTTGTATTTCTGTAGGACCTGTTGTAATATCCTCTTTATCATTTTTTATTGCATCTGTTTGATTCCTCTATCTTTTCTTATTTATTAGTCTTACTAGCAGTCTATCTATTTTGTTGATCTTTTTAAAAAAACCAGCTCCTGGATTCATTGAATTTTTTTTAATGGATTTTCATGTCTCTATCGCCGCAGTTCTGCTCTGATCTTAGTTATTTTTTTTTTCTAGCTTTGAGTTTGTTCGCTCTTACTTCTCCAGTTCTTTTTAATTGTGACATTAGGGTGACAATTTTATATTTTTCCTGCTTTCTCTTGTGCACATTTAGTGCTATAAATTTCCTTCTACACACTGCTTTCAATGTGTCCCAGAGATTCTGGTATGTGTGTCTTCATTCTCATTGGTTTCAAAGAACATCTTTATTTATGCCTTCATTTTGTTATTTATCCACTAGTCATTCAGGAGCAGGTTGTTCAATTTCCATGTAGTTGTGTGCTTTTGAGTGAGTTTCTTAATCCTGAGTTCTAATTTGATTGCACTGTGGTCTGAAAGACTGTAATGATTTCTATTCTTTTGCATTTTCTGAGGAGTGTTTTACTTCCAATTATGTGCTCAATTTTAGAATAAATGTGATGTGGTGCTGAGAAGAATGTATATTCTGTGGATTTGGGGTGGAGAGTTCTGTGGATGTCTATTAGGTCTGCTTGGTCCAGAGCTAAGTTCAAGTCCTGGATATCCTTGTTAATTTTCTGTCTCGTTGATCTAATATTGACAGTGGGGTGTTAAAGTGCCCCACTATTATTGTGTGGGAGTCTAAGTGTCTTTGTAGGTTTCTCAGCATTTGCTTTATGAATCTGCATGCTCCTGTATTGGGTGCATATATATTTAGGATAGTTATCTTTTCTTATTGCATTAATTTCTTTACCATTATGTAATGCCCGTCTTTGTCTCTTTTGATTTTTGTTGGTTTAAAGTGTGTTTTACCAAAGACTAGGATTGCAGCCCCTCCTATTTTTTGCTTTTCATTTGCTTGGTAAATAGTCCTCCATCCCTTTATGTTGAGCCTATGTGTGTCTTTGCATGTGAAATGTCTCCTGAATACAGCACACCAATGGGTCTTGACTCTATCCAATTTACTGGTCTGTGTCTTTTAATTGGGGCATTTAGCCCATTTACACTTAAGGTTAATATTGTTATATGTGAATTTGATATTGTCATTATGACACTAGCTGGTTGTTTTGCCTGTTAGTTGATGCAGTTTCTTCCTGGTGTCAATGGTCTTTACAATTTGGTATGTTTTTGCAGCGACTGGTACTGGTTGTTCCTTTCCATGTTTACTGTTTCCTTCAGGAGTGCTCGTAAGGCAGGCCCAGTGGCGACAAAATCTCTCAGCATTTGCTTATCTGTAAAGGATTTTATTTCTCCTTCTTCTATGAAGCTTAGTTTGGCTGGATATAAAATTCTAGGTTGAAAATTCTTCTGTTTAAGAATGTGAATATTGGCCCCCACTATCTTCTTGTGGGTAGGGTTTCTGCCAAGGGATCTGCTGTTAGTCTAATGGGCTTCCCTTTGTGAGTATCTTGACCTTTGTCTCTGGCTGCCCTTAACATTTTTTTCTTCTTTTCAACCTTTGGTGAATCTAGTATGTATCTTGAGGTTATTCTTCTCAAGGATTATCTTCATGGTGTTCTCTGTATTTCCTGAATTTGAATGTTGGGCTGCCTTGCTAGGGTGGGGAAGTTCTCCTGGATAATATCCTGAAAAGTGTTTTCTGACTTGGTTTCATTCTCCCCATCACTTTCAGGAACATGGATCAAATGCAGATTTGGTCTTTTCACGTAATCCCATATTTCTTGGAGGCTTTGTTTGCTTCTTTTTTCTCTAAACTTGCCTTCTCACTTTATTTCATTGAGTTGATCTTCAATCTCTGATATCCTTTCTTCCACTTGATTGACTTATCTCTTGAAACTTGTGTATGCTTCACGAAGTTCTCGTACCCTGTTTTTCAGTTCCATCAGGTCGTTTATATTCTTCTTTAAACCGGTTATTCTAGTTAGCAATTCTTCTAACCTTTTTTCAAGAGTCTTAGCTTCCTTGCATTGGGTTAGAACATGCTCCTTTAGCTCAGAGGAGTTTATTATTACCCACTTTCTGAAGTCTATGTCTGTCAGTTCATCAAACTCATTCTCCATCCAGTTTTGTTCCCCTGCTGGTGAGGAGTTGTGATTCCTTGGAGAAGAGGCTTTCTGGTTTTGGGAATTTTCAGCCTTTTTGTGCTGACTTCACCGCATCTTCATGGATTTATCTACCTTTGGTCTTTGAGTTGACGACCTTTGGATGGAGTCTCTGAGTGGATGTCCTTTTTGTTGATGTTTATACTATTCCTTTCTGTTTGTTAATTTTCCTTCTAACAGTAAGGCCCCTCTGCTGCAGGTCTGCTTGAGTTTGCTGGAGGTTTACTCCAGACGCTGCTTGCCTGGGTATCACCAGTGGAGGCTGCATAACAGCAAAGATTGCTGCCTGAATCTTCCTGTAGTAGCTTTGTCCCAGAGGGGTACCTGCCAGATGCCAGCCACAGCTCTCCTATATGAGGTGTCTGTCAGCATCTACTGGGAGGTGTCTCCCAGTCAGGATACATGGGGGTCAGGGAGCCACTTGGAGTCAGTCTGTCCCTTATCAGCACTCAAATGCTGTGCTGGGTGATCTGCTGCTCTCTTCAGAGCTGCCAGGCAATGATGTTTAAGTGTGCTGAAGGTATGTTCACAACGCCCCTTTTCCCAGGTGTTCTGTCCCAGGAAGGTGAGGGCTTTATTTATAAGTCCCTGACTGGGGTTGCTGCCTTTTTTCAGAGATGCCCTGGCCAGCAAGGAGATAATCTAGTGATACAGCCTGCCTGCAGTGGCCTTGCTGAGCAGTGATGGGCTATGCCCAGTTCAGACGTCCTGGCGGCTTTGTTTACACTGTGAGTTCAAAACCACCTTCTTGAGCCTCAACCATAGCAGGTGCCCCTCCCCCCACCTAGCTCCAGCATCCCAGGTCGAGCTCAGGCTGTTGTGCTGGCTGTGAGAATTCACACCCATGGATCTTAGCTTACTGGTCTTCATGGGTGTGGGACCCACTGAGCCAGACCACTTGGCTCCCTGGCTTCAGCCCCCTTTCCAGGGGAGCGAGCGGTTGTGTCTTGCTGGGGTTCCAGGTGCCATTGGGATATGAAAAAACACTGCTGAGGCTAGCTCGGTGTCTGCCCAAATGGCCGCCCAGTTTTGTACTGGAAACCCAGGGAACTGGCAGTGTAGGTACTGGAGGGAATCTCCTAGTCTGCAGGTTGTGGAGACCATGGAAAAACACAATAACTGGGCGGGAGTGCAGGTCCCTAATGGCTTCCTTTGGCTAGGAGAAGGAGCTCCCTGACCCCTTGCACTTCCAGGTGAGGTGATGCCGTACCCTGCCTCCTTGAGTTACACCCACTGTTAGCTCGTTGTTGGCCTGCCCCCCTTGGGCTGCACTCACTGTCCAACCAGTCCCAGTAAGATGAACCAGGTACCTCAGTTGGAAATGCAGAAATCACCCTCCTTCTGCGTCAGTCTCACTGGGAGCGGCATGCTGGAGCTGTTCCTATTCGGCCATTTTGGAAACTCCCCCATTGGATCTTTATACAGCTACAAGCATGGACTAAATGCCAATAGAAGAAAGTGTTTTAAGAACATGCTTAAAATCTGGAGTAAGGCTGCCACTTTTTAAATGCTAGCTTCATTCCAAATTAGTTGTGTAATCTTGGGCAAATTCTGTTATCTGTGCTTCAGATTAGTCAACTTTAAAATGGGAAGAGTAATAGCATCTTCTTAATGTCACTGTGAAGATGAAAACAAAGTGCATAGAATAGTGTGCGACTCGTGTTAAGCACTTAATAAATACTAGCTACTACTTCTGCATGTCATGGACTTTCTTCTCTTTGGTATCCTTGCTCTTTAATTCCCTCAAATTTTCTTAAATGTTTTAAATTCTGTGTTCAGATCTCTGAAATGTTTTTATGCAGTTTTCTCCTTAATAAAACTGAAAGTAGACTAGGATAGGGGCTTCAGACCCCTCTCAGTGAAACAGCTATAGACAAGCCCTTTTCTTATTCATATTAGTTTATCAGAGCATAACTTCCATGCATTGTTTAAGAAAATGTTTCTGGTTTTGTTTTTTCAGTCTTAACCGAAGACCCCATCTCAGGAGAAGGTGAGGATGGAGGTATGGAGGTATGTAGAATCTGTCTTGGAGGGTGGGCAGTTCCAGGAAGGGTTAATTGAAGAGAGAAATAATTTTGAGAGAAAGAAGACAGGCTGTTTTCTCTTAAATGTCTCTTTCCCATAATGAGGAAATAACCTGCTTTTTCCTTCAGCTATCAGACTCCTCTTCAGCCTCATTGTCAGAATTGTGTTCTCTGTCTTTGCTTAGAACAACCCCTAGGAAGGGGAGACCGTGTTAGGCTTACTCGGCAGTATTTTGATATGGGCCCTGAAGGACACAGCCTTGGTTCATACCCGAATCAAATTCAAATTCTGTTACTGGGCTACCTCTAGTCTAGAAGCCACTACCTCCTCAAGGAGATTTAAAATTTGGTGTATTATTTATTTCTCAATAATAAAAATTACAACAAAATATCATTTTATATAAATTATACAAAGAGAAAAATACTAACAATAAATAGAAAATTTGAATTTTTATTTACAAGGATTAGGAACTCAGGTCATGAGAATTTATTACATTGTTATAAAATAACTACTTTTCTAGGAAATAAAATTCATTTATTTGTCAAAGCTTACTTGCTTCAGTTTTTCATTTTCTATAAAAATTGTTGCTAGATTTGATTGTCTTCCTGTGACATTGTACACCTTAGCTAATAAACAGTTTTTAATTTTGAGATATTACTTTCTCATCTGGCAAATAATATTGGGAAATGCAAATATATTCTGAAAGCTATAAAAGTCTTTGGAACTAGTGTTAAATATAATCTAATATTTTGGCAAATAATATTGGGAAAAGCAAATATATTCTGAAAGCTATAAAAGTCTTTGGAACTAGTGTTAAATATAATCTAATATTTTAAGTATCTGCTTCATACGACTCTTATGATGATTAACTGAGATAATAAATTTAATGTAGTAGCACATAGTAAATGTTCAGCAAAGTGCTGTATTATTTTTTGTTGCTGCTGTAACAAATTATCACAAACTTAGTGCCCTAAAGCAGCACAAACTTATTATTTTACAGTTCTGAAGTTCAGTCATAAGTTCAAAATATTTCTCACTGGGTGAAAATCAAGGTATTGGAAGGACTGCATTCGTTCTGGAAGCTTTGGGAAGAACCCATGTTCTTGCCTTTTGTAGTTTCTAGAGGTTGCCCTTGTTCTTTTGCTTGCAAGCCATCCTTACTCCAACCTCTCCTGTTGTCAGATCTATTTCTCTGCCTCTCCCTGTCCTTGTGATTACACTGGACCCACCTGGATAATCCAGGCTACTCTCCCATCTCCAGATACTTAATGTAATGACATCTCCAAAGTCCCTTGCAAGGTAACATATTTACAGGTTCTAGAAATTAGGATGTGAAATTTTTGGAGGGATCATTATTCAGCCTAACACAGGTGCTACGATTTTGGCAATAACTGCAGAGTTTGTCATTGTTTGGTTAATGAAATTTTGATTCTCCTTAATATTTTTATAATTGTTGCCTGTGGAAAATTACTTGATCTTTTAAGAAAATATTTTGATATTATTATAAACTGAATAATTTATTTGCAAAGTATTTACCTCCAAATTTTAATGATGTTTCTAGTTTGTTTCCTTAAAATTTCTTTGGTGAAGCATATATGCCCTGATACTACATGCCTTTGCACATCATCTACATTCAATAAGTACGTATGAATAAATGAATGTAAGAGTGAACTGATGGCAGGGGAGGTAAGTGAAAGAAAACCTGGATGACAATGAGTGGTTACTTAAGGTCCCTTTTCCCGTTTTCTTGATGTGCAATGAAAATATTTCTTTAGGAGACTCAAAATTTCTGAGGTCCTTCAAAGTTATTTTCTTGGAAATAATCTAAGAACTCAAACTCTGCAAATCATGTTTATTTGTTCTAAATTGTTTTTTATTTTCTATGAAAATAAACCCAAGCAGTAATATTGTTAGCCCTAAATAAAGTAAATAGCTGTTACTGAGCCTTATAACATTAACACGTCTAGAGAAAAGCCATCTATGACGTCTATTGAGAAAAGCTCTCAAGGCTTCCTTTCTACCTCCTATTCCATCCCCCAAATTTCAGGAAAATAGAAGACTTTAATGCAAAGCAATATTAAATTTAACTCTAGCTCACAAAGTTTCATTTTCTATTTGATCCTCCTCAGCAATAGTGAGGGTAAGGTAAAGATGGTACCAACAAACATGGTAGGTTTTGTACAAATCCGTGTTTTTTCTGAGAAAGTAGAACACCTGACAGTAGAATAGTAGAATAGCTTTTCTAAAAATACATTGTTGAATCTGCATATATTTATCTTTGAATTAGTAGTTCGGTACCAAATAAGAGTTTCATTCTATATAAACGTTCACATTTCATCTTGAAACTACTCATTCAAATTCCCTATTCTTAGCTTCTCACACTGACACTTTAAGTATTTCCCTGGAAAGGTAGCCACAATTCCACATCTGACTATTTTGACCCAGTCATTGTTAAAATTTATTTTACTATGAATAACATAGCTTACTTTCCTACGGTGAAGAAATTTCCAAATTTTTGAAGTTGAAGAGTGAATTCCAAAGAAGTTTTCAAACTTTTAAATGTAAATGAACATTGTTTAGGCTGTCTTTCTCAGTTAATGATGATAGCACCCAGAAAATCTAAAATGAAAGCTTACTGAGCTGCAGTACTATACAGAAGTAAAAACTAAATGTGAATACATTGGAATACCAGAATTCACCTCATATCTTTGCCTCCAACACATTCTACATATAAAAATGACTATGAAAGCATTACTTCCATGCATGGAAGTACTTACATTTGTGAACTCTACTTTCTTCTATTAACTACATAAAACTAAATATCTTTTAATGATTAAGAATATATCTTTGAATTGTGTATTTCATTTTACAAACAAAAATTGAAGAACTGTCATTGACATGCTTATATAAAGAATGTCAGATGAATGTTCCAAATCATGGAGTGACAAATTTCAAAAGAAAGAAATTAACAAAATATTTCCATGATTTAATTTGTACTTTTTGGTTTCAAATGTAAACTTGTACTGTCACACACATTTGTATTATATGTGTCAGTTAAGTAAAAAGAAATATTTTGATTTTATTTTTGACAGTTAATTTTTATTAAAACTAAGGCAAATCATACATTTTCATCTTTGAAGACATTTGAGTTTGTGGGTAAATAATATAATAGTTTTTTGATTATTATTTCTGAATCTTATTTAGATTCTTATACTGTTTGAAATAAATTAATGTGTAACTGCAGATATAGAAATACTGTTGAAAACTTCCATTGCCTGAAACTTATTAGGTTAGCCAGTAATGGCATCACTTTGCCAATCACTTATATTTTCCTAAATAGAGCTGATGATGCTGAAGGTTGCAGTAAAAATATTACTGAATATTTAAACTTTTTTCAAAATTAAATAAAATATAATTTTAAAATAATATGGATGGAAGAAAAAGGAAAGATGAGCATATTTTGATTGTTATGTATCATCCTCCAAGTCTCAATTAGTATTTTAGGTTATTGTACCCTATAGTTGATATAGTTTACTGGGTAGCTCACTATTTCAACTTCCTTTTAGTGTGGCGTTCTATACTGCAAAGTTTGGTAACTAAAAATTATGTTTTATAGAACATTGTAAAGCTATTGTTCTAAAGGGGATTTAGGTTTTACCTTTCTGATGCACTTTCTTTAGCTTTGAATTCAGAACTGATTTAAGTGCGGAAAAAGGTAGAATTTAGAAAGCATCTACTTTATTGATGCAAATATACCAAGTCCAATGTGACTCCGAAATCAATAATTCTGGTGGTGGCTGCCTATTCTTTGACTGTAACTAAGGCTGTGTGTTCCAGGAATTAATTCCAGCAGGAGCTTCCTGATCCCCAGATCACAACTGATATTTTGTGTTCAGGAAGCTAACAGTTGCTACAGTAACACTGTAACCCCAGATCAAGAATAGGGGAGAGTGATCCTGGAGGCAGCCAGAGAAAGACTTTCTGACCTCCCTGCTTTCGGATCCTGCCAGGTATAAAGGCTGCCTTGGTTGGCTGGTTCTGTGGTGGTGATCTGAGATCTATTCATGATCTATTACCCTAGCCTTCCTAGTTATTTTGAAATCATGACATTCTTTGTTAAATCCTTCTTTCTTTAAGATAGATATGCTTTCTATTATATATAACGGAACTCTGACTCACATAGGAGACCAAAAATGCTGTTATCAGGGAAAGAATGAGGAAAGCTGTGGAGAAATGGATGGAGAAAGAAGGGACATGTCTCAGCAGGTGCTAAAAGGACACAAAGGTCATGCAACTTATTCATTTCCTATTTATTTTGCACCACCTTCTTTCTTTTGTGGACTTCTTTCTCTTTGAGTCAGGAGTCCCAAAACTGTGGCCACCAACAGTACTGGTCTGTGACCTGTTAGAACTGGGCTGCACAGCAGGATGTGAGAGACAGGCCAGCCAGCATTACTGCCTGAGCTTGGCTTCTTGTCAGATCAGCGGTGGCATTAGATTCTCATAGGAGCATGAACCCTATTGTGATCTAGGTTGGGCACTCCTTATGAGAATCTGATGCCTGATGATCTGAGGCGGAACAGTTTCATCCCAAAACCATTGCCCGCCCCCAACCCCACCATTCCCCATCAGTGGAAAAATTGTCTTCCACAAAACTGGTCTCTGGTGCCAAAAAGGTTTGGGACCGCTGATTTAAAGGGTGACTTGGATTTTTAACTTAATGTACTTTTACTTTATAAAAATTCCAGTATGAATAAATTGTACAGTTTATTAATCCTTGAATTCTATTCACCAAAGCTAGCTTTTACCCAGGCTCTTCCTTCCTCTTTCTGCCTTGAAAAAGGTACTTAGTACTTTATATAGAGTTTTGAGGTACTAAGAATCAACAGACAGGTTAAAAAGTTTCTAATCCTTAATTGAGTAGCCTAGAAAACAACATGTAGTATTATAACTATGTGTTTAAATTCTATCAATTAGAACCCCAA